AAGTCCATCTCATTCCATTGCCTACCATGGGCAGGGACACCTTCCACTAGATGAGGCTGCTTCAAGTTCTGTCCAATGTTTTCTTTATGTAGTAAAAATCACGTGTAGGACATGTAACAAACACGTGGAGTGAGTCGTGCTGGTGGCAGCTGCAGTTTCCTCCTTTCCCACCTACAGGTTTGTTGCACATGCACCAGGTCTTGACAAAACTGAATTTTCAGGCTGTGCTCTCTATTTTGAGCAGCATTCTGCATAGTTTCCCTGGTGAATTATGTGCTTTTCACACACATTATGAAATGAGAAGGAACACATTTAAAAAAAGCCCCACCACACTGTTGCTGAAACTATTTGATTTTTGCCTATTTTTAGCAGAARTTTCTATTTTCTCATTGTCTCCACCTCTTGCTGGAGCAGCAGCGTTTGGTGAAGCCACACATTTTTGTGTAGGAAGTTAAGACAGTTTGTCCCACCCATTATCTGGTGTTGRGCTTCTCTGTGAGACAGTGTGTTTCCAAGAACTGAACCTTCCCCATGGACAGTCCTTTTTCTTCTCTCTCTGAAAGACTAAGCCACTTGAATTAAACAAGTTATGACATGAACTATAAATCATTTTTCCAGGCTTTGAAACAGGGATAAGTTYGATTTTTCACAGAATCACAGGCTGATTTGAGTTGGAAGGGACCTTAAAGTCTCTGTCATCCCACCTGCTGCCATGAACAGGGACACCTTCCACTGGACCAGGTTGCTCCAAGCCCCATCAAACCTGGCCTTGGACACTTCCAGGGATGGGGCAGCCACAGTTTCTCTGGCCARACTGTGCCAGGGCCTCACCACCCTCGCAGACAGGATTTTCTTTCTGATTTTTAATTAACCCTTTCTTTCTTCAGTGTAGTTTCAATTTAATATCGCTAGACTTACTGGCTGCCTAAATAAGAAAGATTGAAGTTGGCTGACAGGTAGGAGAGGGTGACAGACACATGTCTAAGCAATCCTGTTTCTTTGTAACTTATGACAGAACAGCCCAAATGAGCATTATTGTTGCTTCCAGGGAACTCAGGTGCCTTTGCTTAATGAGAATCTTCTGGAGCACAGGCACCAAAAGGAAGGGATTTGACTTTCCCCTGAGCATTGAAGGCTTTCTCAGGGGGCTGTTGCAGTGTGTTGAGCCACTCTACAATCTTTTAGATACATCTCTGTGTGTCTGTGCAAGCTGGAAGATGGGGATGGTTTGGCATGGATTGGGGTTGTCTTTTGATGTCTGCAAGACCAGAATCCATGGAGCTGTATGGAGGTGAAACTGGGTTTAGTCATCATCTGCTCACCAGGTAATTAGTGCAGGCTGGATGGGGCTTGGAGCAACCTGGTCCAGTGGAAGATGTCYCTGCCCATGGCAGGGGGCTGGAATGAGATGAGTTTAAGGTCCCTTCAGCCCAAARCTTTCCATGATTTTATGATTGAACCATATATGTTGGGAACAGAATGAGCAATGAGCACTTGTGCTCCATTTAAGTCTGTTTTGTTTCAGAGATTTTGATACAGGAAAGAGAGATGAGTGTATGAAWTACACCAAGCCCACAGAAATGTGTGCTCTCTACATGTGTGCCTTTACCAGAAAGAGGGATAAGCCCCGAGGTTGTGAGGCTCAGGTATTTTGGGCACTGGAGGAACTTTGCTGGTACATCAGGTTCAGGAGSTGCCCCTGCAGTGACTTGCTTTGACATTTGGTGTACAGAGTTGCTGATGCCTTTTGAGAGAAGATCTGCGAGGCTTCCTCTTTGTCCACCAAAGCGCTGACATTCCTGAGGAGATCCAAGTCCTTCCTTGGGGTCTGCTCTGGTTGAAGGGGGTGAGGGGGAGATGAGGGGGGTGTTGCCAGTGGGAGGTCAGCCCGTAGTGCAGGTGTCCTCAGCAGGGCAAAGCATCATTGCTGCTCTGGGAATATTTAACTCCCTTCTCTTCAGGTTGCTTCCTGTTGCCAAAACCTTCTTATCCGGAAGATTTTCCTCAACTTGAAAAAGCATAGATATAAATACATCTTTGTACTCATTTCTGCTGAGATTTTTACTCTGAAATCTCTCTCTGAATCATATCTGAGTTTTGTTGTAGTTTGCTTATTTCCATAGTGTTTAACACCTTCTTCACTCCAGTTTGTGAAGTGCCTGCCTTTTACAGGCTGTCTGACATCAAACCTTCAGCCTCTACCAAAGAAAGCCCCTCCAAATGAAGTATTTACAAAGTGGCAGCTCAGAGCAGGAGRTGAACAGCACTGCTTGAGTGCTCCTACAATAGCAGAGCATCCTCCTCCAGCAYCCAGGGAGCTCCCGAGGCACCTGCAGGCTCAGCAGAATTGCCTTGTGGAATAGCAAGGGAAGAAAAATTTAATTGAAATCAAAAACTGCTTGTAGTTTGGCTGTGGGCAGTGCTTTCTCCAAGGGATGGGTTGAAGACCAGTGGAGCAGGAGCCTTATTCTCTGCCTGCTCTGCTGTAGGCTAAGTTGGAAACAAAACACCACTTGGYACCCACTTCCTTGCAGGAAAGGTCCTTTTTCCTTGTATAATCACAGAATCACAGACTGGCATGGGCTGGAAGGTTTAAAGACCATCTCATTTGACCCCCTTGCCATGAGCAACCTCTCAGTTATGTTCTTACAAATCTCTTTGCTTTTGATAACAACAAATGTAGGGGAAACCATTTCTGAGCATAAAATTTCCGAGGGAGAGAGCCAGCCAGGAGCCCACATGTTGGAGCCAGGCACTTGAGTCCTACAGCAAGATGTTTGCTGTACCCAGTGAATTGTTGGCAGCTATGAAATGTTTATTGGGAAAGGAAGGGCTTCTGCATGCCCATCTCTGCATCCCCATTGCTGCTGAGGGGATGTGGCTGAGCTGCAGCATGGCTCTGGGGGGATGGAGGAAAGACAAGATGTTTGCTCATTGCCAGCCAGAGCCACCTTCCCACTCCAGGAAAGGTCTGTGTTTACACCTTTGAAATGTAAACACGTCAACAAATCTTGTTCCAGATTGTTGATGTTTAAAGAGAGAAAAGCACATCCAGAGGAAATGTTCCTTTGTGGGCTGTCCCTGAGGCTTCCTGTGGCTGATAAGAGCTGCTCCTCAGCTGTGTCCCCGCCACCGTCATCTCTGAAGCCTCAGTTCTACCTTTTTGATTTGAAGTGCAATGCGTCCAATGTTGTGTGTTTTGATAATGATTCCTACAAATGTATTTATTCAAAGTAAACACAGTGGGAAACAACTACAAAGCAGGCTGCTCCAGCAGCTGGTGCCAGAGGGAGCTGGCTGTCGATGTGTGATTGTGGTGGGACAGGATTGCAGAGCATCCTTCCCATTCCATGTGTGCTGGTGCAGTGGGAGCTTTGCCCTGGGAGTTGTCATAGTGTATTTGGGGTGGTGGGTGTTTGGCTGAGCGGAGTCCTTGCCCTCTCTGCTTTATGGTATCTGCAAGAGTTCTTGGAGAGCTGTTGAGAGCAGAAATTGGCTGCGTGGTGGCTGCAGTTTTCTGCAGTAGGAGTCACAGTTTGSTGATGGGGCCAGCAGTATCTGTTGCAAGGGACTGCAGGAGGAAGGGGAGCAGAATTAAGAGCTGCAAGGGCAAGTCACACATGCACTCCCATCTGCAAACTGATCACAGACACATCTGGGCACATCTGGATTTGGGCACTCTTTGCCTTGTAGCATCCCTGGTCCATTGGGTACCCATGGTGCAAGTTCTCTGTTTGGGTGCCTGCTTCCTCAGTGCAGGTTGGAAGGTGCTGTTTCAGTGGCCTGTGCTGCTCCATTGGGTTTGGAAATACCCAGAGGAGCACCAAGGGGAGATGGTGACTRAGGTATAATTCTGTATTCTTCTTCTGCAGGAGATCAGTCTAAAATGAGTCCTGCAGCTCGTCCCCAAGGCTGGCTGATGGGGCTGAGTCCAAAGGGAAAAATCCAGCCAAAACCCCAAACCAAAGCCTTGTAACCTCCAGAAATTTGCATTGCTGTAGAAACAGTCAGGGAAGGTCTGTGATGCTCTGCTGGTTTAACCACAGCATTAGGAATAAGCTGAAGGAAATGTTTGYGTTAAACACAAGGGGAGAGTCCTTTGGAGTGCTGGGAGAGCTTTTCTCCTTCAAGCACTCTGGTTCTATTAGCAATCAGGATGAGATAAATTAAAGTTGATGAATGCAATAATATGTAGGAGGATGACATTTTGGAATGTTTCTTAATTTTAAGTGTGTATTTTGAGCAAATGTTTGTACACYGAGGCTTGGGTTGGGGGATTGAAGCATATTGGATTATATGCTATTTGCTCCGTGTAAGCAGTGGCAATTTATTGCTGCAGATGCATGTGATGCAGTGCACAAAGATTAGTTCTATCCTCTCTAAAGCATGATTATTTTGGGTCCTCTTTARACCTTAAATAGATATTCTTCTCATGTGATTTCTGTCTTTTTGTGTCAACAGCCCAGGCTAAAGTTGAAATAAATATTGCATCAGCTTAATCGCACAAGCTCTGAGGAAATTTGTTCTCCATTATGGATGCTGTTTGGAAACCTTTTCATTTGACATTTTTTCAGCATGCAGTGCAAATGTCTCGTGAATCCCAAAGCCTGTTCAGCTCCACTGGATTGGTCTTGTGCAAAACAATGTAATTGCCCAACACTGATGGGTCCTGTCCCCAGCAGTGTGGTTTGGTGTGTTTAGATCATAGAATCCCAGAATGGTTTAGGTTGGAAAGGACCTTAAAGACCATTTTCAAGGCAAACTGTAGCAAAGGTAGTGACTTTGCCCTTGCTGGTTTTGTAGGGTGGAGTCACCCCTGCAGACCATTCACTTCAGAGTTGGACTCGATCATCCCTGTGGTTCCCTTCCACTCTGGTTCTGTGACAGGGTGGTGTGACTGGTGAACATGGCATGTCTGTGCTTGTGGTTGGTTTGAATAGCTCAGTCAGACGTGGGTATTGGAAACCTCTTGACTGAGCCCTTTTGCTCCTCTTGTGCAGTGTCATCATGACAACAGAAAAGAGCCCAGCAGCCGACGCTGACAACTCGGAGCAGCAGCAAGTCAAAGAGGAGGAAGGAGCTGCTGAAACACAGAAGCAGCAGGCTTCCCTAGAGGAAGGGGCTCAGCAGACACCACAGAGGCAGYCCCAGAGGCAGAAGGCTTCCAACGGAGACACCCCCACACACGAGGAGCAGAGCAAGAAGGAACGGCGCACCTCTGAGGGCCGCGGTCTCTCCCGCCTCTTCTCCTCKTTCCTCAGGAGGCCCAAGTCTCAGGTGTCCGAAGAGGACAAAGACACTGATGTTCCTAAAGAGGCAGGAGGTGATCAGAAAGACGGGGGATTAGGAGCCAGCCCTGATGAAGACATCCTGGTGAAAGCCCCAATTGCAGCCCCCGAGCCCGAGCTCAAAACYGACCCATCACTGGATCTCCATTCCTTGAGCAGTGCGGAAACACAGGTAAAACACCCCATGCTCTCTGCTGCTGTAAAATGTCTTTGTAGCCAAAGCCATAAAGACTTCATATCCCAGGCTGGTGAGCTTGACCAGAAAAGGTCATGAGATGCCAAAAAGGCTCTTGTCACCTCCCTGTGTTTCATTGTGTACTTCCCACTCTTGCATCCTTGCATCAGACTTGCAAAGTACCTGCTCCAGGAATTGGGCTCACACTCCACAGCATAATTTAAAATACTCTGTGCTGAATCATTGCTCTGGCTGGTCTTGGGATGTCATGTCAGAGTGCACAGTTCACATTCATTGGGTTCAAAACCTGGGTTGGTCGTGGGAATGTGCTTGGTGTGAGCAGGAACAAGGAAGGCAGGTTCATGGCCCAAGGTGGAGATTGCAGGCTATGTGGATTTGGGAAATGGCTTCTCCAAATTCAAGGAGCGCAAGCACAGCATTTTAGGACTTGGTCATCTGCTCAGTCTGGTCTAGTGCTGAGCTTGCCAAATAGAAATATTTTCTGCTTATGCATTGTGTAAACAGGGATTTCTGCATGGCATGTGGGCTGAGCTGAGCTCCTGGGACTTGTCTGGTGTCTGCTCTTTCCAGCCAGGGTAATTTTTCGTGCAAAATTTAAAGTTTAWAAGTGTAAAGTAGAATTTGAGGCGGAGACATGCCCAGGCAACATTTGCTGAGCTGTCRCTGGTTATTGATTTTGGGGTGCTGAATGGCCTCTCTTCCTCATTGAGTAGTTACAGCTCTGCTGTCACTTGAGCTTGGAGTTGGAAAAAGGTGGGTATCCCTTCTCCTAAGCTGGCAATTTCTTACAGCCTAACCAACCTGTGTGTATGGCTGGAGCCAGATTGGGTGAAATCTGGATTTCTTATCCACTGCCTTAAGTTTTCAGAGTGACTCCAGATACCCACAAACACTCAATTTTGGAGCAATACTTTGCAAATTCAAGCATTGCCAGTAGGCAATCATTTTAAATCTACCTCCTTAAAATTACCAAGTTGTAGAGAGGGTAATAGGTAACAGCTTTTTCTTTCTTTTCTTAAATTTCTGAGCCTGTGAAGACCATGGGATGATCTCTGCTCATGTTTTGTACCTCTGAGGGTTAGGATTAGCAGAGTGGGGAACAGGCAGAAATTTTCATGCAATTTCAGCCCAGAAATTGTGTTTTCAAGAGGAACTCATTCTGGAAAGTGTTYAAGGCCAGGTTGGATGAGTCCTGGAGCAACCTGTCCAGGCTCATCCTTAAAGATGAGCTTTAAGGATCCTTTCAACCCAAACCATCCTGGGTTTTTAAATGCATGATTTCTTTCTCTGTCTCTGATTTGCTGCTCCTCAGTACATGTGATTTTGCACCCCAACGTTCCTTCATGGGCTGTTCATTTCAGATGAAGCATTTGTGCCTTTTTTTTTTTTTTTAGTTCTTATTTTAGATCACCGTCAGTGGCTTTCTGAACTGTGAGACTAGGCAGATATTTCTGCTGTGAAAGCATTTGCGAGGTGCTGCAGTTTGACAAATGCTGACCAACAGGCATTAGGAGCTTTGACTGATTCTCTGCTCTTGATTGTCCCAGTTCTGCTGGAACAGAAGTCAGCAGCTTGTGGACATTATTTAGTTTTTAAATACCTCCGTGCAGTTGTGCCTGGGTGTGATTTCATGAGATGTGATGGGTTGARCAGACAAGGTTTTGCTTTTCCTCTGCTGCAGCTCTGTGCTCCTGCTGCATCCAGCCCCTTCYATCATTGTCAGAGCCTGCTGTGAACTTGTTTAACCTGCTGAAGTGGCGGAGAAAAAAACCTCCAGCTTCCTTCCTCCTTCTGTCTGCAAACTGCATCTTTTCTGCTATTTGGGTAGATTAAACTGTCTCGCAAAGTGCAAAGGAAGGGTGGTGTGGAGGCTGCCTTCCCTATTTGGTGGCAGAGAGCTGCTCAGTTAGCTCTGATGGCCAAAAACCTCAGCCCTGACCCTCCTTTTAGTGCCACTGCTACCATAAAATCCTACAGTGGTTTGGGTTTGGAAGAGACCTTAAAGCCCATATCATCACACCCCCTTGCCATGAACAGGGACATCTTCCACTATCCCAGGTTGCTTCAAGCCCCATCCAGCCTGGCCTGGGACACTTTGAGGGATAGAGCAGCCACAGTGTCCCTGGACAGCCTGTGCCAGGACCTCTCCACACTCACAGGGAAGAATTTCTTCCCAATATCCCATCTAGTCTGTTTAAAACAATTCTCCCTTGCCATGCCAAGGGCCAGTGTGCTAGAGCAGCAGCTCGGCCAGAATGGCAKTGGGAGCACTGGGGGTCCTTCCTGGGAGGGAAAAAACCTTCCCAATCCAGAAGGTGCTGTCATTAACACCACGAATGCATGATGTAATCTGCCCTRATTTCTCTAATCAACGCTTAATTATTTTTTTATTGCCTCCTCTATTATATGAAAACTTGMAAATTACTTGGAAGAGCTTTAAAAACTTCTACCATTCCCTTGGTCACCACAACTGCTGCTCCAGGTCCTGGGTTAAAGTGGAATAATGAATTCTGGGTGAGATCCCAGACCTGCACTGCTTGTTCCATGTGATGCTTTGTTTGTTTGTTTGTTTGACACCTTTAAACTGGGGATTTCAGCCTGCTCTGGAGGAGAGGAGGGACGACCAGGAGCCAGAGGGGAGAGACCTCGAGGACAGGGAACAAGGGGAAGCAAAGGAAGTGGGTGCCAAGCCAGAGCCGAAGCCGGAGACTGCAGACACCAAAGCAGACAAGGATTTGAAAGCTGCCCAAAAAGCAGTGAAAAGACACAGAAACATGTACTGCAAAGTTGTCTTRCTGGATGACACCATTTTTGAGTGTTCTGTGGATGTAAGTACTTTAAAGGTTTGGTTCTGTTTCTGCTCTCTTCCTTCTCCCTTCTGCTCTTGAAAAATCACCAGAAGCACGATTTAATAGGGGCCTAATGTGCTGCTAGGGAATTACATGRCAGGTTTTACTGCAAAACAAGCCTGCTGTAAGCTATACCAGCTTATTTAATATGTTGCAAAAACCTCTGGGTACTAGGAAGCTTTATTTTTTGTTCTACAGTTCCAGGATGCCTTGTTTTGTAAAGGTAGGGGAAGCTTAAAAAACTAAACCCAAACTTTATATTACTTGCAGTTCACCATCTCTCTCATTTGTATCCCAGACTAGAGTTTATRTTTTTGGGATTTTTGCAATTGTCTAAATAATTTTGCCTCCTTGTCTTTGAATAAAATGGGTTGTATAAAATTGATTTGTGCTTTTCTAGTCCCCCAAGATACCTTCACCTCTCAGTCTGCTGGCTAACTTAGCTCCTKGTGCTTGGATGTAAGGAARAACACTGTATGTGTTTAGCCTGCARTTGAATATATTTCCAGTAAACAGTTGAGAATTATTATGTTGACTTACAGCATTKCAACCAGCTTCATCTGAGAGCTTTTTTTCTGCTTTATTTGGTGCATTCTCTCACAAGGCTGTGGTGCTGTCAGGGCAATAAAAAGCGAGCAAAAATCCCTATTTTAGTATTGAAGTACTTGCCCAGAATATTAATAATCTGGTACTTACCATTGGAGCATACTTCCACCAGCTTGTTTTCCTTCAGTCGCACTGGTAAATGGGCCAGGAGAGGGTATCTGGGTACAGGGCTCCTCGTGGGAACAATCACCTTGGGTGATCCTGGGCAAGTAGGTCAGTGCTGAGTGTTTGTGTAACGATGGCGCTGCTGGTATTGCTTGGGATCAGCTCAGAGCATCATTGCCCCCATCACCTTCCCCTTGGCCAGGGATACTGTGTGCAGCCCCAAGGAAGGTGYTCCCCAGATCCCAGTGACAGATTGCTGTGGCTTTGTGCCTGAGTTTGCTGCAGCGATGCCTTTGGATACTGTCATGGACCAAATTGGAGGGAGAGACATGGGGGGATGGGGGGTCCTGACTTGAGCAGGACATGAGAAATGTCTCTGTGTAGGTCCAGAGGGTCGTGGTGGGCACTGCAGAGGATTAGGGCAGCTACTCTGTCAGTGAGACCCTCTTAAATTGAGAAGCATCGTTTGCTTTAGTGCCAGTATAATTCTGCTCTGGTATTTTAAGAGTTTATTAAGATTTAATTGGAAAGGAATTGCAAAGGTGTAGTCAAAGAGCAGCACAAATGCCTTTATCCAAGGAGAATTAGTGCTTTCAAGCATCCTTTCCAACTGCCAGCCCTGGAAGCTTTTTCATTTCTATATCAGGGCCAATTCCTTGAGGAATACCCAGGGTAACACATACATTATGTTACCTACAGAGTCACAATGTGTGCACAAAGGACCTGACAGCTGAAAGGCTGGAATAAAGCCAAGGAATAAAACAAGGCAGGGGTCTTGGAGCAGTTGCCATGCAGAGATGACTGACAGGATAGCTGCAGGCATTAGTGAAGCTGATTTTGCGTCATTGGAACTGCGCTTTCTTCTAGCAAAGCCTCCAATGGAATGAGCTGCTTCTGGTTGCCATAGTTTTATGCCTCAGGGATGTTTTCCTTCATGCTTTTGGACTAAAAGGGTATCTGTTTCTTGGGCCAGTTCACTTCTGCAGAATTTGGGGAAAAGAAAAAGAGAAAATAGGAATGCTCCAAGTGTATTTCTGGATGCAGGAAGCTGTGTGCAGAGCAGCTTTGGGTGCATGGGGCAGACAGGAGAAGCTGGTTTTCATCACCAGATCAGGGTGATGGAAAGGCCACAGAGATAATGGGCTTTGGTTAAGGGCTGCTGTCTTTTTTCTAAACCTATGAAAAGTCAGGCTGTCCCTGAAGTGAGCAGGTTATAGGAGCGGTTGCAGCCTTGATCCATACCTGATTGTCTGGGAGGTATCAGCACTCTAGATATACCTTGGGAGGGAAAAGCTGTACAGATCCTTGCTGTCTAATGAGYTGTGTTGGGAAGTCCAGCTTTGGGGGGGGTTCAGACATGGAGCTGGTGGGAAGAGAGAGACACWCTGTGGTTGCTGTTGCCTCTCTATGGAATTTTTATGTCTGGTACCCTTTCCTGTAGTTAGTCCTTGCGCTGAAACAGCCAGGAGATATGATTTGGGGCTACTCAGGACCTTTTTTCCCCTTAATGATCATGCACAGTGTTGTTTGATCCCGTTCCCTACCTCCCSTCTCCTGTGAACAAAAACAGGCAAAACGCAAACCCTACAGGATTTCTTTGTCTGTTTGCAGAAACACGCCAAGGGACAGGATCTACTTAAAAAAGTCTGTGACCACCTCAATCTGCTGGAAGAAGACTACTTTGGTTTGGCCATATGGGAGACACCAACCTCCAGGGTAAGCAGCTCCTGTTCCACGCTGGTCTGGCCCTGAGGGGATTCAGCTCTTTGTGCATCATCTCCCCAGGGCAGGAAGTGGGGCATAAGCCCCTCTTCAAACACCTTTTGGTGYCCTCCCTAAATATGGATTGGGATTCATCACACAGGAAGAAACAGTGAATGGATGACTACAGGAGTGTGGATTTTATCRAAGAGCTATATGAATCACAGAATGAATCGTGGTGAACTTGTGTCTTCACCTGGAGAAAAGTCATCATGTTAGTTTACTGCAAAACGATGTCATTAAGTTATAAAGCTGCAGCTGAAGATGTCAGGCTGCCCTGGCACTGGTGCCAGCATTGGGAAGGTTTGCTTGGAACCATCCAGAGTGTTTGGAGTTGAGCTTTTGCTCTGCAGAAGAGCAGATGTGACTCTATACCAAAATGCCTACTCATGGTTTCAGTTTAAGGTCTTTGTTTGATTTGACTCAAGCAGTGTCTTATCTTTTAAAACCATGTCTGCCCTTTAACTCAACAATTACTCAAGCTCTATTTCATGAAGACGAAAGTGAGATAATTGAAATGAAGGGCCCAATTCTGTATTCTTTAGACCAGTTATGTTGGTCCATATTCTGGCTCTGCTTCACCTACAGCAATTCCCTGTGGCCAGGTTACTGACTGACAGATGTTTGTCATTAAATACTTAATAGTGTTTGATACATAGGCAAAAACAACACTATTTGAGGCAGGCATAGCTCCCACTTGGGTTTGTTTACCAGTCTCTGGTGTCTTCCGGTTTTCTTGAATCTGAAGTGTATTTTCATTTAACCCTGAATATTTTTTACCCTCAGAGTTTGTTCTTGCAGACAGAGGGTAGGTGTACTTTTAGGTCCAATTAAAAGCAAAAAGAGTTTGTCCGATCTGAAGCAGCTCAGCTTCTTCTKCTTGTGCTGTGGGTAGCTCACTGCTACATTTGGATGTTAGGAAAAAATCCTTCCTGGAAAGGGTTGTCAAGCCCTGGTACATGTTGCCCGAGGAAGTGATGAAATCACTGTCTCTGGAGGTGATCAGAAAAGCATATAGATGTGGCACTTGCAGACACAGTTTAGTGGTGGCCTTGGCAGTGCTGGACCGATGATAGGACTTGATGATCTTAGAGGACTTTTCCTAAGTGATTCCTTGGCCTCCCAGACCTTTCTTGTGTCCAGGCTTTTGGCATTAATTTTTCTGGAAAGAGAAGTGWGTACTTCCTTCCCCCAGGCCAATAAGGGCTGAGAGGTTATGCAGCTGCTTTACTGTAGGGACTGAAAACAGATTGTTTTGTCAGATCTGTGTCTCAGAGCTGGGAACTGGGGAAGATGAGGCCACTGGATTGTTGAGCTCTAGTGTGGAGCAAGCTGGTTTGATTTGCTCTGATGGGTGAAAACACTTCTTTTAAAAAGATCTTTCTGATTATTGACCTTTGAAATCTGAAGTTTTCTCTCTCTGCTGCTGTAACCTCTACCAAGACCCCACACAGAGTTACTGATTCACAAGTGAAAAATGGTGTTAATAGGAATCCAAGGATGAGCTCCTGTGTCCCACCTGCAGCTGTTTGGAGCAGATGGAGATACATGTGCATGTTTCTGGACAGGGAAGAGTTGTATGTGGTATTTTCTGCCTTGATATTTAGGAATAAACCCTCTGAGGACCAGTAATTACCACATGGGCTTAGCAGAGGGTGACAGTAGGATTAGGAGCTTGTGACAGTGGTTTGAGCAGCTGGTCACCATGGAGCAGCAAGGAACTGATTGCCCTGAAAGGGAGGATTGTTTSCCACTGATTCATGACCCAGTGGGATAAAAGTTCTGTTAATTGCTGTACCCATCATTGTCTGCTGGATCCGGCGAGGTGGGATGCATGACTGCACCCTGGGCTCACCCCAGTAATGAGCTGTTGTGACYCTAGCTCAGCCATGGAGATGCTCTGCTCCAAGTTGTGGCCCTAAAAAGGCAGCAAGTCTTCTTTTCAAATGGATTTAGTATCCCCACTTTTATAGGTTAGAGGAGCAGGCATTTAAAAGGAGGAGATTAAATGTAAGTATCGCTCTCTCCCTGCCATGAAGTTACGTGTCCTTCTGGTCAGGAGAGATTAGCTTGGGGGATTCAATGAGTTAATTCCTTCACCTCGGGAGACCTGGGTGGCCAGATCCTGCTCAGAGCTGGTGAAAATGAAGAGGAGGTTAAATGTAGCTCTCCGGGAGGGTTGTTAGCCCAGTGCTGGCACCTGCAGCAGGACAGACTCTGAGCCCKAAAGGGGAAGGGCTCAGACCATGGAAAAAACAGGAGTTGTGTTTTGAGGCTTATATTGCACCACCATCCCACTAAACCCCAAATTACAGAGAAGGGGGAAAAAGATACGTTTCTAAATTTGTAACTGAGATAATTACTAGAAACTTGAGTCATAGTTAAAAGAAATGAAGTTCATGTCACACTCCTGTAAGAAATTCCAGCCTTCTTCAGGAACTGGTGTTTTCACTTATATTTCAGCAATTAGGTCATTGAAAACTATAGCTAATAATAGGAAGTCTTGGTGATCTTTGATCTCAATGGGGTAAGTAAGGAGACAGGGTGCTTAAAATGAATATGTCCATCCTATTTACTTATTTTTAAAAACTCTGGAGAGTAGGAAAGGTGTTGTACAAGTGTCCCTGGTAGCTGAATGTGGCCATCCCTGCTGCTCTGTTCTTGCAGCCCTAATATCCTGGGATTTTTTTCCATCTGCTGTTCCTTCTGCCTCCCTTATGAGTCCCAGATAGGTGAATGGTTGGAACTACACCCACTGAGACCACAGCCTGGAGTAAAAGTAGTGAAAAATGCACCATCTCTCCAGTTTCCATGGCTGCCTTATGCCAAATATTGTCCTTTTTTTTTTGCTGTATTTTTAGTAATTTGTAGCTTTCAGTGGTGTTTCTGGAATGTCTGGTAAACTGTGAATGTTTTTATCCTCTACAGACGTGGCTGGATCCTGCCAAAGAAATAAAAAAGCAGGTTCATGGTAAGTAGATTGAATTTATTGAGTGGATTGGGGGGAGGGATGGTTTCTCACAATGTGACTTTGGTGAACCATCCAGGGGGCCCAGAGATGGGGAGARGGCAAGTGAGGGTGGCTGGCAGGAGTCAGCACAAGGTCAAGTGGTCTGTGCATCCTTTCTCTCCATCTTAAGGACTTACAGATTTTCTAGATTCATGAAAAGAAGTAATTTCCTTGGAAAAACAGTTTGGGGTATGTTAGCCTGAAGCAAAGCCACACTGTCCATTAAGTGCTGAAATGGGGATGTGCTCCTTGTTGGAGGATGGGAAAAGGAGATTGGGAGACCCTGAGCAGAATTTTATGCTGGAGCAAGGCTTGGTGTATTCTGAGGCTGTTTTGGGGTCCAAATAGGGGCACTGGAATGATAAATGGCTTGAGAAGTATCAGCAGAAATACCAGATGCTTTCCCAAGTTGGATTTTAAAATGTGCTAGCACTGAGTTAGTTCAAGATGAGGGCAGTGTCAGAATTAAATATGTTTTAGAGGCTTTTTCTTGGGAGCAAGTCTGACTACTTGGGAAGTAAAATACTGGTTTTAGGATGGAATATACTGTTTTACAGATGCTTTTGGTGGAAGGCCTGGGACAAAGTGTGTCATTAAATCCAGATTAGGAGGGGAATGACAGGTTGAGGAGTAGGGAAAGCTTTTGGTCTTACCAACTTCTGTTGGAATCAGTAGCAGGGTGGGTGTGAAGGGCAGGAGCTGCTCCATCCATAAAGTTCATCTACTGAGTGTAATGAGCAGCAACCTGCTATGGTATCTGGTCCCCTAAGATGGGTTAAATGGCAAATTGTTTGTACTTGAAGTGAAGGTATTTTGCAARTACATACAAATGTGTGGACACCAACATGTGGTGGTTTAAATAACCTCTGCTCCCTCCAGTGCCATCGAGGGATCACTTGTTTTGAATTGTGTGTGATGAAAACAATGTGTCTTGTGTTTAATCCCAGTTATGGCATTGCATAAGATGTAAATCCAGGAATGCTCTGTTCCCCCTCTTCCCTGTGTGAGATTGGTATAAACCTCTGAGTGAATTAAGCACAGGGGTAGATCTTCTCTTTTTTCAACWCTGAACTAGTGTTAAAAGGGCACAGCAGGGGGAGATGTAACTATGAAAGTCACTCAGTCAGGACTGTTTTCTACTGGGAAATGGGATTATTTTCAAGGAAAATAAAGAGTTACCCTTTCAACTGTGTCACCTGGGCTATCCATACCACATATAATGCCAATTCTGCGTGTGATTATATGAATTTTGGCTCAGTTAAATGTCTGTAATGGTGCTATACACGGTTTGCAACAAACTGTATTCAAGCAAATAGGTCTGAACTTGAAAAGCTCTTTCTGTACTGGTGCTTGCTGGCTTCATCCAGAGGTTGGTGCTTGTGTTGGGCTGAGTTTAATCTGTGTCTGACCACCTGACCCCAATTCATAAGGCCAAGGAGTGATTTAGCACAGCCCTCCTTGAAATTTGCAAATTGGGTTGARCAGTAAATCAATCTTAATTCATTAATTTATAGCCTATGCTTTATGTCTCTTCATGAATACATTTTCAATCAATGAAAAAGCATGTCAGTCATTGAGCTTCTTACCAATGAATTTAATTTTTGCCACGAGTTCTTGTTAATCCAGGTGACTTTCCCTGCCTTGCTTTGTTTTCTCCTGCTTTTTTCCTGTAATGAAATCACATCTAACACTTACACAGATGTTGAGTGGAAGCCAGCTGTGAGAGCGAGCAGTATCAAATCAGTGTTACATCTGCTGAATTCTGAAGACCAGATTGGATGTTTTCAGCTTTTTTTTTATATCAGCTGACCATCACAAAGCTGTCCTGGTGTGTTAGTTTTTTTCAAGCTCTCTCACCTGTCATTACAGGAGGCCCCTGGGATTTTACCTTCAATGTCAAGTTTTATCCGCCAGATCCTGCGCAGCTGACAGAGGACATCACCAGGTGAGTTACCTGGGAATCCTACTGCCATATTCTCTTGAATAWGGCATAGAATTGTTTTGGGTGTTTTTCTCTGCTTCCGCAAGGAGATCAGATGCCTTCACCATTTGGAGGGGATTTGGTTTGTTTTTAGTGGATGTGTGGATGCCTCCACACTCCACTGGAGTCCACACATGTAAAGCAGTGTCATTTATAATCCTGCCATGTGTTTGTTTGGATAGAAAAGTAAATTCTTCTCTAAACCCAAAATTTTCTAGTCATAGTGTCCTTTATTCCCTTTGCAGAGTCGAGGTGACCTTGAATCTCATTCCTGTTTACCTCGGGAATAAGTAAAAATTGGAAACAAACATTGTCATGTGCTCAGTAGTGTTAAAAAAGAGACTCTGATCCTCAGGTTAATAAATTTCTGTCTTTTCTCTGTGAGCAGTATTTTCCTTTCTGCCCCTAGGTATTACCTGTGTCTGCAGCTCAGACAGGACATCCTTACAGGGCGGCTGCCCTGCTCCTTTGCCACCTTGGCTCTGCTGGGTTCCTACACGGTCCAGTCAGAGTTGGGAGACTATGATCCTGATCTCCATGGCCCAGATTACATCAATGAGTTCAAACTGGCCCCAAATCAGTCAAAAGAACTTGAAGAGAAGGTTGTGGAGCTTCATAAAACATACAGGTAAGATGTGATGGCTGGAGGGCTTGTTCATACACAGCAGCATCAAGTAAGGGAAATAATGGGATTTTCTGGTGTTTTCCCCACCTTTTTGAGATACAGAGAACCTGTGCACRTCCCTTCCCTGGAACTGTCCAAGGATGGGACTTGGAGCAACSTGGGATAGTGGGAGGTGTCCCTGCCCATGGCAGGGGGTGGAAYGAGATGRTCTTTGAGCTCTCGTCCAATCCAAACAATTCTGCAATTCTACAATGATTCAGTGAGCATCAGCTCTTAACAAAAGATCTAATACTGTGGACAAAATCTGTCTAGAAGCTGGAATTCTTTTTTTCTGCATGAAGAAGAAATAAAGTTTTTAGAAAGCAAATGAGAAGTCTCGCAATTGTTTATTAACTAGTGCATTTTTTCACAGAATAGCCATTAAAGTGGGGTTTAGTTCATGTGAAAATGCAAAATTTGCTTGTTTTAACATTGCCCTTTCTCTTTTTTTAATACATTTCTTCGGTATTTATGTAATTTTTATGTAATAGTTGGATTTAGTTTCTCTGTGTACACACTGTAGTCTAAACAGCCTATTTGGGACATTCTTCTACCTCATTTAATAAGTCACATTCATTTCTCAACATGGAAGGATTCCAGGTGATCCARGAGTTACAAACCTGCAGTTGAGTGTTCTCTAGTTCAGACCTGAGCGGGTGTGTCTGGTTTGGGTAGGGTTGAACAACTCCTGGGCTTCCCTCTGGTATCAAGATTCAACAGTAACTAAACCTCTTCCTCATCTTATTTTGGGCATATCTTCCTAGAAGGGAAAAGATGAAGCAGACAAGAGTTTCTCACAGGCAAATGGGAACAAAAAACTGGAGCACAGTGGGAAGCGTGGACATGGGCACTGGCTGTGACCAGAGTTACAATTAATACCTCACTCAACCCTGCAAATCAATATTTTAAATTGATTCCCCTCCATTTACACTGAGAGGAGAGGAAATGAGGGAAAATAAGTACTGGGCCTCTGACAAGCTTCATGACTTGGAGTCAAAGGCCATTTGCTGTGCTAGAAGTGGTGGATCACAGTTCTGAATTATTCATGGCTTCATTTGGAGGAGACTTCAAGGTGTAAGATGTAGTTATATTTCTTCTGTCTGAAAAGGAGGAAGCAACACATCCCTGTTTAATTTCTGGTCCATATTCTGTGAACATTAAATTTAAGAGCGTTTTCAGTGGGCATCATAGAATTGTGGMRTYRTTAAGGTTGTAAAAGACCTTGAGGACCATTGAGTCCARGCATTAACCCMGTACTGCCAAACCCATTAGTATGTCCCCAAGTGCAGYATCCAYGTGTTTTTTTGACATTTCCRGGGAAATCTCTGCTAAATCATKCTCCAGCTCTTGCTACTGTATTTGCAAAGCACAAGACACATATCACAATGATGACTGCTCCTGGGGCTTTCCTACAAGATTGTCCTTACAGTGGACTTTGCCCTGTCTCCCATCACTCAAACCTGTTTACATCACACACAAGATGTATGTGAGTGCAGCGAGTAAGGAAGACACCAAAGGAGGGTAGAAAACAAAAAGTATGCAGTGAATCCATTCCCAGCAAAGCTGTTAATGTACCTCATACAGCAGAAACTTATTAGCAGGGACACTTCAATAACGTTGATAATGGCCTCCATTATCAGGATGTCTCTGTTAAGTTGTGCCCCTCCTGCAGACAGGGCACCATCTGTTCCTGGAAAACCACTCATTCATCTGGTCCCCTGCCTGGAATCTTTGCTGAGCCGTTTCAGCTGTCCATGTGTTTGGTTTGGAGAACAATAGCTGGCTTTGGGGAGGTCTGGAGGCAGCAGGTCTGGGGGGACAGGACCTGTCACGTTTTGCTCAATTGAGGTTTCTTCTGCTGCATCATGTTTTGTCCTCTCACTGCTCTTCCTCACTTCTTTCTCTAGTGCCTGTACAGCTCCATGGGAATAAAGTGCAGCTGTGTTACTGGGATGTCTCAAAGCACAAATTTGGGCAGTCAGAGTGATTTAATAATTTATCAGCTGGGCACAAATTTGTTTGTATTGAAAACAAAACAAAATCTAATGAATTTCATGAAGTCCCATCGGTCTCCTCTTAAATGCAACAGTTTCAAGAATACCAAGCTCTTTCTTTTTCTGCAGATCCATGACRCCAGCTCAAGCAGACCTGGAATTTCTTGAGAATGCAAAGAAGCTGTCTATGTATGGAGTCGACCTTCACCAAGCCAAGGTGAGAGCCAGCGTGTTGCACCTGCCTGTGGATTTTGTAATTTGATTATCGTTCCCTTGCAAGTTTACCTGTTTCAGGAAACTCTTTTGGAAGGAAAGGAAGTATAGAAATACAGACATACAACAGGGTTGCTCTGAGGAGCYTAGAATACAGGAGCTTAGCTGCCACATGAGCCTCTGTGCTCCAGGAAATGCAGGATGGGCTCTAGATGAGCCTTTTGGGCAACCAGCAGAGTAAGAGAGATCAGCAGGAGGGAGTAGGTTGTCAAGAAAAGCATGAAGGAAGAGGAAGGCTGACCGTGGAGCTGCAGCCAGAGTGTGGGTGGTGGGGAGATGAATCTGGGGGAAGACCAGAGGGATAATTTGGAGGGCAAATGTTGACGTGAAACTCAGACCCTTGAGACTGCTTAAATCCTCATCTTCATTCCCAGGACTTGGAAGGAGTGGATATCACTCTGGGAGTCTGTTCCAGTGGCCTTCTTGTTTACAAAGATAAACTGAGAATCAACCGCTTTCCATGGCCCAAAGTCCTGAAGATTTCCTACAAACGCAGCAGCTTCTTCATCAAGATTCGGCCAGGGGAGGTATGACTGGCTCCTGCGGGCACTGCCATCCTCTGTTTCTTTGGGATCATCACCGTGTGTGCGTCACTGSATCACAATGGAGAGGGGTGGCGTTTTTCTCTGCTTGAGCGTTTGACAGCAGGGTGTCTGAGCCCGGCTGGTTTATGTCCGGGCAGAGATGGAGCTACGAGCCAGCTGGTGACAGTGTAAGAACGAGTCATCCAGCACCACCTCCTGGCATCACCGGGTATTCCCAGCATCCAGGGAAACGGGTGGGAGGCTGACAGCTGAAATCGTGGCAGCACTAACTCATTTTTTTTGGAAACGGGGCAAGAAAATGGCTCTTCGTTTTGTTTTCATTCAAAGAAAGTAATTGAAAATTAGAATTAGCTTTTCATCKAAGTGCAGGAGGCAAGGAATGGATGCATTGGTGCTGCCTCTCATGAATGGGGAAATCCCTGGATATATATAGCCTGGCTATATCAGGGAGAGGGGCTACAATGRGGATCCCCCTCTTTCCTCCTGCAGTGTTTGACCCCATCCCACAGCTGGGCAGTATGAGATGGAGGATAAATGATCTGCCGGGCTGCAAAACCCATGGCATTTCCTSTGCAAATCCCAGTGCATTCTGAGGGATGCCTGGGCTAGTGGCCAAGCCCTCTCTTTCCTCTGACCTGAGCTCCTGCTGCACATTGTGTGGCAAGTTCAGCAGTTTGTGCCACAGCAGAACAGGCTAATGGGCTGGAGACTGGGCTCCTGCCACATTTGTTTCATGCTCTACCTAAGTAACTTATATTTTCCACAGCAAGAACAGTATGAAAGTACAATTGGGTTCAAGCTACCAAGTTACCGGGCAGCGAAGAAGCTGTGGAAAGTATGTGTTGAACATCACACCTTYTTCAGGTGGGTTTTCTGAACACCTCAGGTAATTTAATGCTCTCAGTAGTCTCATGTCAGGTAATTTAATGCTTGAATTTAAGTACTGAAAATGAGCAGTTTTCCTTAGGGTTTCGGAAAAATTTGAGTGAAATGGTTGCAGGGACAGTAGGTGCTCATTTGCAGTAAATTTGAAGCAAGTTCATCTTTGTAAGACCCATAATACAGAGATCTTTGGGTCTTGTAGATATGAGATACTGTTAGTGTGTGCATTTTCTTGGCCAAGTAGATGCAAGACACTCCTTTAATTTCTACTTCAGTTCTTCTTCACATACCCCTTCCTTCCTCTGGTGGTGTGATTTTTAACTAGTGTGTGTGGCTTTCAGGCTGACTTCCACGGAAGCCATCCCCAAGAGCAGGTTCCTGGCGCTGGGCTCCAAGTTCCGCTACAGCGGGCGGACGCAGGCGCAGACGCGGCAAGCGAGTGCCCTGATCGACCGGCCCGCGCCCCAGTTTGAGCGCACAGCCAGCAAGAGAGCATCCAGGAGYCTCGATGGAGGTGAGTGAGCTCCTGCTGCATCTTTCCTCTCCCTCCTGGAATCACCAAAATGCACAAATACTCCTTAGTGAACACCCAGATTCCTGCTGTACAAAAACAGAGACAAAACTTGTCACTGTAGTGGAAGACCTTGTTCCATTCCTTGCGTGTTTAGGAATTACGTGCCTGTAGTGAGACTGAATTGGTGTTCAGTTTGTTAAAGCAGGGTGCTGATAATACCAAGGGGATAAGTTTATTCCCCATATGGGCTATTCATTTAAGAGTTGGACTCTATGATCCTTGTGGGTCCCTTCCAGCTCAGAAGATTCTATGATTCATCACACAACCTTCACCCACACCAACAAAACCAACCAACCAAAWCAAAAATTCCCCCTACAAAAATGAAAACAGCATCATCTCAACACAGAGCAAAAGTGGACAATTTACACCAAATCTACCCCTTGTCCCTTCACCACAATTACAATTACACAGTTACACCAGAATTCCCCATGATCATTCTGCTCTCTAACGTAGTTCTCTGCTTTTGCCCATTACCTCTTCCAGTTTTTATCCTTATCTCAAAATCACAGCATTGTGAGGGTTAAAAATGAACTCCAAGTCAGCCASACCCAAAACAAAAATGCATACCAAGGGTGGTCCCAGCAGAACTGACTGACAAAAAGGATATAGATGGGTGCTGAAGGCTTATGGCAAAGTTCTTCTTGTAAAGATACTTCCTCATCCAATCTCAAAGCATTTTCCTTTAGAAAATCAGGTATTATGCCATTCTGTTTGTTTTGTTTRACATAACATCTTAAATTCCATAGTTTTACATGAGGGGTAGATTTTTTGCAACGATGGAAACTTTTTTGGTGTCCCTTAAAGCGATGCTCAGTTTGGAGTTGAGGTGTGACAGTCAGGTGGGCTCATCCTTGAGATTTTTAGAAGGGATGGATGAGGAGGTGAGGCATGGAAAAGGGAGTGCCCAAGTTTGGTCCATGTGATGTGAATTACAGGGTACTAAGATCCAGGGAAAGAGGATCATCCCTGTGCACTAAGAGTGAGGATCCAGGAAAAGAGAAGCATCCYTGTGCACCACAGACACCTGATGGAGCAGGGACCATGTTGCTTTGAGCCCTGAGTTTGTGCTGCAGCCTGGGAGGACCAGAGCTGCCCCAGCATCCTGTGGTCAGCAGCAGTCAGGCTGTCCCTGCTCCTGGTCTTAGTGACATCTCAAGCCTGGGCTTGTGCCTGAAGCTGGAGGGATGTTTTGAGCTCCATACAGCAGTGAAGCCATATTCCAGCTTCCCTGCAGCCTGGGCATGTGAGGTTCCTCAGGCGAGGGGACCAGTSCTGCTGGTTGCCTCCTGGCCATGCCATGATGACCCCAGATGAGTAGAGAAATCACAGCTGCAGTCCTGMATCCAGATGTGTGAGCTTGGAAAAGAGCAGCCTGGGAATGTGACAGTCATGCCCCCTTTGCTGTGCGGGCGGTTGTTAACATGTGCCCCGTTTCTTCAGCTAAACGTGCGACTCAAAAGGTTGAGTTCAGAGCCGTAGAGGAAGAGAAGCAGAAGGAGGTGGTGGTGGTTGAGGTTCCTGAATCAAAACCTGCGGATCAGATCCGAGAGAAGCCAGGTATAGCTGTGGTGGTGGCTAAAGCTCTCTGCAGTGCCTTTCCTATCCTCTAYGTGCTTGTTCCTGACAATTCCAAGTTTCATCAAATCTGGTGGCTTTCTCTTCTCATTTCTTTGCTAGAAGAGTTTTGCAGTGAGAGGAGACACGGCCCAGCTCCAGGAGACTCCTTAAATTTCCACCTTGCACCTACAGGAGACTGTACTTATGGGGAGGTGGGGAAAAGTTTGGGATGTGCAGGCACTTGAGAACTCATGTTAAATTTGGGTTGGTTTTTATATGTGGATTGGAAAACTTTAAATTTTGATCTTGAAACTTCTTGTGAATCTTCTGAAATTCTTCATCCCAGGACCTCCTTGCCACTTTGGGTCGGGTTTTTTTCAGAGTTTGAGAAATACTACCCATTTTACATTGTGGGGCTTGGAATTTTTGTRGGATAGGTACTATTAGTAAATATTRATRTCCTTAAGAGGTGTGTAGGTATAATAGCRCATTTGAATACTAATAAGTATATCACAGCAGCAGTATTGCAAATATTTGCAGTCTTSATCACTTCATCACACCTGTGGTGTTTCAGGGCTGGAGATAAGTCATATGGCAATGCTTTGGGTATCCACTTTCCACCCAGAATTTTTTACAGTGTACTTTTGACTGCRTCTAGATCAAGTTTTTTTGAAGTGTGGCAAATTTCCCCACTGTGGGCATGCCTTGAATCCTCACTAATCAGCATTTCTTGATGGGGAAAGCCCAATGCTGTAAAAGCAGAAGGAGGGGAATTTCAGACACCAGGGTAGACTTGAAGTTGATCACTCAAGTACATTTAATTAAAACTGCTAGTTTTTAGGYAGGTTTTTATCTGGATGTGTTTTTCCTGGATTTTGCCAGCCAGCACCTGCATCCCTCCAGACTTTGCTGGCAGAGTCCTTCCCAGTTCCACACTTGAGAGCTGTTCACATCCCACGTCTCCCTTCCTGGGCAAGGAGCCCATAAAGCTTATTTTTGTGTTCTTTTCTCCTCTCATCCAATACACTGTTGGGTCTAACAGCACTAGAAAGACTGACACACAATTCCATGGTGGAAAATTGCTGTTGAGCTGCCTTGCAAACCTCCTGGCTGTTCCCAGCCACTGAGAGGGATCTCCTCACTCCTTGCTGTGGTGACCATCATGTGTCTGTGTGGATCCCCAACCCCCATTAACAACTGCAAACCTCTTTCTAGCCAAACACACTCTTGARACTTTTGAAATGAAACCCATTGCAGAGGAGGAAGAGGAGGAGGAGAAGGTAGAGGTGGTTAAGGTTCCTGTTGTGAAGCCAAARTCAGCGGAGCTGGTGCAGCCACGGTCAGGTACAGCCGCAGCGGTGTTTGGCACTGGAGGCTCCTGTGCTGTTGCTGCTGGGGTGAAGTGATGCAGTGCTGTAGGACAGAGGTTACACTGGTTGTGGTGGTGTTKGTTGGCACTGAAATCACCCCTGCCTTTGCTGTGTTGCTGCTTTTCAGGTGTGCACTGTGTGCAGTGAGGGGGTGCCGTGCCACTCCTGGCTGTGTGTGGAGATGAGTGTGGCCTCTTAATGCTCCTCCCTTACTGTCCCTTCTTGTGAGGTTTGTTCTCCTGRGCTGTAGGAATGTGCAGTGCCTGGAAATCAGACTATGAGATCTGGGATTACTGGAGGTCACCTACATTCCACTTTATTTCATCACTAGGGAGCTGCTACTTCCCTAGTGTGGAAGGATGTTAGAGYAACATTGCTGCTGCAGACAGATTCATATTAATCATAATTCAAAGTAGAGTTGATTATTTGTTGCTGGAACAGGAGATTGAAGCCATAGAGGGAGGTAACTGGGAGCATCACATGTGTCTTTGATTAGTATGAAAACCATTGGAGGATGGTCTTGGCCCCAAGGRTGCCTGAGCTCCAGGGGCATTGAGACACCGATTTCAGGCACCAGATGGGATGGYTGAGATGTCCTGTGCAGGGCCAGGAATYGGACTCAGKGATCCCTGTGGGTCTCCTCCAGCTCAGCAGATTCTGTGATTCTGTAGTCCATGGGTTGTGTGGCAGCAGCTCTAAGATCAGCTGGTGTCAGACCCAGCACATCCAGGGCTCTCCTGCTGTAGCTGCCCCTTCTCATCCASCTCTGCACTTTTCCTTGTGCTAACTTTTCTGTTCCCAGTAGGGACTGTTGGTGAGGTGATGGCCATGGTGGTGGTGATCATTTGTAGGATTCTGGAATGGTTTGGGTTGGAAGGGACCTTAAAGATCATCCAGTTCCAAGCTATACTGTATATTTCATATTTTGGGGCAGTCCTTTTTACTGTGTTTAAATCATGTGTCAAAATAGCCAAAGGTGATTAATCAAGGAAMTGTAACTAAAATACAGTTCTGGCAGTGCAGTACTCATGGTTGGATGGCAAAGGAAAAGCTTGGTGTCTGTTATGATTTTTCCTGCATGTCTTCATGCTCTGSGAGAGCAGCAGGAGAGGTGGCTCTGCAAATTTACTGGTGACTTTGCTGCTTCCTCTTTGAGGTGGCATTTTAACACATCCATAATTTTTTTAGCCAAACGTCATCTTGGCAGTATTGAGAGGAGGAGGAGGTGGTGGGGGAGGAGGAGGAGGAGGAGGAGAAAATGATGGTGAGAGAACTAGAGCCATTCCCAAAGGAGTCAGATATCACCCCAATGACAGCTTTGCACACTCAGCATCCTGGCCATCCCTGCCATCTCACCTCTGTACAATCTTCCCAGCGCTGTGACTGCTTCTGTGACATGAATACAACAGGACACAGCACGGATTGTCCTTCAAAGAGGATAACACAGTGTCTGGGTCGCAGAAATGAACTGCTGTGCTGAGGAGCAGGGAGGGAGCAGAGCTGGCGGTGGTTGGTGGGCTTTAAGGTGGTTTACAATAGGCTGTGGTATCCAGGAGTTTCTTTTGGAAGTGTAATTCCAGTCTCTGGAAACTCAGTTTCTTTTATTCCCTTTGCCTTGTACATTTTTGGCCATGTGCATATTCTCTCTATGTTTTATTAACACACAGATGAGATGTTACTTTTCAGTATAATAAGAATTCTTACTAAGGAATTGCTTGAAATTACAATTTCTGTTTTAACCAAATTTTCTAGTGTCTTTGCTGGCTGGACAGGAGTGACCTTGTGTTGGCTGGGGTAGGATACACAGTATGGTCCTGCTGCAGACTGTGACCTGGGGAATGTGARACCATGTCAAAGATGTCATTTTATGTGATAGGATATCTTTTTAGTGAAACATCCATAAAAACCAACATGAGGAGAAACAAATATCTTATTGTTTCCCTAGATACACACAGGGAGTTTATTTGGGCTTGCTTTGTCACACCACTTTGGCTTGAATGTTTCCTTGGGATTGGGCAAATGAGAAATTGCAGGAAAGGAGTAGGCAGTTGATTTTGTGTGGACCTAGTGCTTGTAATTAAGACTGTTGTCCGCTGAAAAGATGATTTTTGGCCACATGCTGTTCATTTCTGCACTGTCACTGGCCTGGAGGTGCTGAGTATCTTCCTACTGCGCTGCCTTGAAAATACCCAGCTCAGACATGCAGCCCCAGTCTGTCTTGAAACCCACCTGGAAGTTTATGARAAGTTTTCTAGAGCAATGCTTGTTCATTATTTTTGGGGGAGAGAGGGGAAAGCCTGTGTTTCTCTTTTGGAAACCATCTGTGTCTGGTTGAGAAGATGCCCATGAGTCCAGAATTCCTCACGCTGTGTCTATTTTCTGGTTGCAATGGAGTGGAGTCTGTGTCAGTTGTGTGAAGGACCCAGAAATCCATGGTACAATGTCAAAAATAGATTTGCCTTTCTGGTGTGGCTGCTCTGCAGAGTGCAAGCTTGCTTTTTGTAAGCCATCTGGTGTGGAGTTTTATTTGATTTTATTTAAACCATMAGGAAAATAATCTTAAGTCTCCTGTACTAAATGCACAAGCTGCTCCGCTCAACATCTTTATTTCTTTCCTCTTTTTTTTTCCTTCTCCTCTCTTTCTTTATAAATGACAGCACTGTAATTTGGAAAGAGTTTACCTAGTGCTTTGGAAAATTACCTRCTCTGAACTTTGTCCCTGTCTATCCCCCATCCTCAGCAGTGGCTGTGATAACCCCAGAACGGAGTCCCCGGCCCACCTCAGCCCCAGCCATCGCTCAGAGCCACCCTGCAGAGTCAGCCCCAGCTAAGCCCGAGGTGAAGGACATGGCTGCATCTAAAGTAGTGAAGGAAACAGCAAAATCTGATGTGAGACGCGAAGAATTCTCAGCGGAGAAAGCCAAGGAGCCAGTGGATGCTTCAAGGGTAGGTCAGAGTGGAGTTTCTTGGGAAGAGCTGGGCTGGAGCATCGCTTGAGAAGTCACCCCAAAGCAGCAGCTCTGTCCTGGGAGACATGGGGTTTGTCACTCTCCCAAGTGTCAGGAGATCTGGGTGCCAGGAAATCCCAGCCCTGACATTCCAGGTGGGAGAAGGAGCTCCAGGACAGCCAAGTTTTGGTGGTTGTAGTCAAAGCAAGTGCAGCCTCCTGACAGATAGTTAAAAACTCTGACAAGAGCTGCACATGATCATGGAACTGGAGTTCAGGTCTCACCCGTGGCTGGGCTGTGGCCCCTGATTCCTGGTATGAAAGCAGGAGGGAATTCCAGTGAAATYAGTGATAATGGATCTGGTCTGCAGCCCAGTGCCAGAATGTTTTTCACATTGATAGGCTTTCTGTGGGAGAGATGGTAATRCAGTGCTGCAAACTGGACTAAAACCTCAGTTGAAAATGGCACTGGTGAGACTTGGGGAATTTATTGTTTAAATGCAGTATTTTTAACCACTATTTGATCTTTCTGCAAATATCTGAGGTCCTTGCTTGGATTGATATGTGTGTGCTGTTSTAGTAAGTCAGAATAATGTGTAAAATTATTGTTGATATTACAGTATCCTTAATATTCTGCAGATCTTACTGAATTTTTGAAACATTGCAGTGGTGCAGCAGAAGTGTTTGCCCTGAGACACARCTTTCACATTACTCCAAAATTTAGYKGTTCTCAGCATTGTGRAAGTCACATATTCTATAACATACCTTGCAGKCTTGTGTGAACATCTACAAGAGACATGCCTGTTAATTAAAGTTGAGAGAGTGAAATGAAGAAAGAGCAGTTGCTTAAAAAAATTCCATGGCCTGCGTGAACAGTAACTTTTTAATGAAAATGCTGAAGGGAAGTACAGGCTGGCACTGTGGGGTGGGGATCAGAGCACAGAGTTCCTGCCTGGCTGCACCACCTCCCCAGTGTTACACTGAGAACAGGGATATTTTACGCGTCCCATCTAATTTATTACAGGTTTATTCCTAAATGCTTAAACATTGGATTCTTTTTCCCCCTCAAATATAGAGGAAACTCTGGATTTGAACGTACCAAATTTACTGTTTCTCCAATGGAGCTGCATCACTTYTTTTAACACCCACTCATGCTTTTGCCTTCAGCATACTTGACATTCCAGTTCCCTTAAAATACTTCCCTTAGAATGTTAAGGCAATCTTGGCACTCTACTTATGGACAGGAAAGAACTTAATTTGTGAAGTTAGGCTTCGTTTTGTAGCTGTGCCTCTTCTTACTGCCTCTGCCAACATAATACCTGTGAATAATTTCTGGTTTTGAGAAGGTCTGTGTTAATTTGAGCATGTTGCTTTGTTTGGATTTCACTGGTAGATCCAGCTGCAAATGCCATTTGAAAACATTGCCTGGCCAAGCTAATGCAAGTGGGAAGCCCTTCTTCAGAAGCACTGGAGAGCACTGGTTTCAAATACAAATAATTCTCAAGATGGAGGAATTATTTAACATGCTGTTGACTAACAGAGTGTCGGGGAGCTGCTGTGTCATTAACCCCTGCCCAGGGCTGCATGTTGGTTTTTGCATGTTCCCCCAGCACTTCAAAACCAACTTTATGCAGCTGTGTTTGGAAACTAAATGGTTTCTTGAAACAAATCTACTAACAAGAAATGTTTTTACCCATTTATTTCTTAAATGTAGGTGAGGAAAGCACACATTGAGGTCACAGTCCCCATCACGAATGGTGCCCAGCCCCAGGTTTGTGCTAATAATTCAGTTTAGGTTGTGCACACTTTTTTTTTTTTTCCAATGTTCAACATAGTTAAATGAAACAACAACTCTTTTTTTTTTTTTTTTTTATCACTGCCCAACAGCAGCAGCCTGCAGAAAAAGAGGAAGAGCTGATAAGAATGAGGAAGGTTAGCCATTTTGCCCTTTCACTGGCCAAATCTCCCATATCATTCATGMATCTATAACCTGTTTAAAAAGACAGTGCTCCAGTTTCTTCATGGGCTTTGGGTTGGGGTGCTGGTTTTCTTTAAACTATCAAATACTTGATTTGGAAATTAATAGCTTTTTGTCCCATAGACAACCTGATTGTTAAAATTATGCATGTTGAATGTTCAAAAAACCCACACTTGGTTTGATTTATGAAATTTATCTTCTCTGTAACAAATTAGTTACAAACTAAATGTAGCCTGCATTGCAGGAAATGTAAAAAAAAAAAAAAAAAATCAGGAGAAAGATCTTTTGGTACTGATTAGTAATACAGATGCATCCAAGATGGGTTAGGGTGGTTAAGGTGCAGTTGCTGTGCACATTGAGACCTTGTAGAAGTCCCCCCAGGCAGTGCAGCCTCATAGCTGAGATTGGCCAGGGATGGGCCTGCATCTCTCAGGAAGGTGCTGTGGTGATTGTGTGAGGCTTCTGCAGAAAAGCAGCAATTGTCTCTTTGTGGCCAGAGCCAGGGCCCCCTCCCGGGAGCTGTCTCTTTAAAGGAMTCATTGCATCTCCCATTCTACATCAGCCAGACCTCCATTCCCAGTGGGAATTCCCTCCCCACGCTGCCACAGCACTGCACTCCCAACCTTGAGTTAACTTTTTTAATTTGCCGATTTATTGATCCCGCAAGACCAACATTTTAATTTTTTGTGCTTTTTTTTTTTTGTTTTGTTTTGTTTCCCCCTTTTCTTTCATTTTCACAGAAGAAATCAAAGAGGCTAGATGGTGAAAACATTTATATCAGGCATAGCAATTTAATGTTGGAGGTTTGTATGAACTTGAAGCTTTTTTGAGTTGCATTTGCTAAACCTTCTGCATCTGCGCTGAATTTCTTCCTTTTCTGCTGCTGCCTCTGTTTTTGCATGCTCTTGCATGAAAGACCTTTTGATTTGATTTTTTTAGTTATGCTTCTGCATGGTGACAGTAAACATGATGATGTGCAGGCCTTCTTCCTTCTTCCTCTTCTGACTTTCATTCTYTCATACCTACCCAAAATACATGATTGGCACTGCTTAAATCTGCTCTGGGACCTGCAGTCTGCTCAGGGGGTCATGGATTGTTATGGGAGACTCATTAACTGGTTTTTGATTGCTTGAAACAAATTATTTTTGGGGGAGAAAAGCCAGTGGGTGAAAATTAAAAATTCAGGATAAGCTGCAGGTGAAATTGGAGCAGATTGCCCAGAGCAACTGTGGCTGCCCCATCCCTGGAAGTGTCCAAGGCCAGGTTGGACAGGACTTGGAGCAATCTGGGATAGTGGGAGGTGTCCCTGTGCATGGCAGGGGGAGAATGGGATCGGCTGGAAGTTCCCTTCCCGTGCAGACCATTCCAGAATTCTATGAAATTGTCACCTCACTGGTGTCCAGGCCACCACARTGTCCACTTTGCTTTAGGCAGGAGGGATCCTTTTGGATGGTGCAGTGGTGTTTTCAGCTTTGCCATCCTCCTCCCATCCCTTCCTGGCCTTGCAGTGCCTCACCACCCCCGGGCCCCCTCCTGCCTGGGTGCCAGGTCCTTGTGGATCTGACAGGCTCGATGGTTGTGTGTGGCTCATCCCTCCACGTTACAGCTCTTCCCTTTGGATTTGGGAGCCCTTTGTACTTGGTTTCACCCAAGCACAGTCTCAGAATAGACTATGCCAATCATATATTTTATTTTTTAATACATTCTGTTATGGAGATGTTTTGTGGCTTCTGATACTGTGGTCCTGTGTTATGTGTGTCTACTCAAACTTGCAGCACTAGCAGCTCATAGGGTTTCCCTGATGGTATTTCTTGAAAGTGGAGTGTACTAACTGACTTTTCCTTAGAATTTTCAAAGTTTTTCAGCTTCTGAGTGGGGTTTTTTTTGTTGGGTTTGTTTTTGTTTGTTTGKTTTTTGTTTTTTGATTTTTTTTGTGGTGGTTTTTGGTTTTGGTTTTATATTTTTTGGACTGCTACCTAGAGCTTTAAGTCACAAGTGAAGGGTCTGCACATGATGRGGAAAGTTCAGCTGCCGCCACCGGAACACTCTGAAGATTCTGCCTGTTGCTTTCTCACCCAACTCCAGCAGCTCCAATTCCCCAACCCCAAACAGAGCTTTGTCATTGCTTCTAAATGCCTTTTTTTCTGTCAGTGTAATACTTGCCTCYGAGCCCTTTCCCTCCCCTTCCCACAGTCCTGTTGCTCCAGCCCTCCCCTACAACAGGGCTGACCCAGCAGCTCACCCCCTTTATTCCCATTATTTTTTTAATCCATGCACTTGGCAGATCAGATATTTTCCTGGCAGACCTCACCCTTCCAATCTGTTGATTTTACTGAAAGCCTTTCAATGCTCCACGTGTGCCAGGTTCCCACAGAAAGGGCAAAACGGAGGGGAAGGGAGACACTGAGCAAGCTGGTTCCTCAAGGTGCTTCCCAGACCTGGCTCCACGTGGTTCCTCATGGCTTTGCTCCTCTGTGAGCCCTCCCAGCCCTGCACCTGCACAGTGTTCCAAATTTAAGGTGCTCCTTCTCTCTGAGTCAGGAGCAGCTGGAGGGTTCTTGACCCAGGCAGGGATTTATCCCACATCAGACTCATTTCTGCTTTTCTTTCCTACCTAACAGGCACTTGTCTTACACTTTTATCTAGGATGGAAGCCAGAATTTGTTCTTTTCTCCCTAGAACTGTGCCAAAAAGTGTAAATGCTGTTAATGAAGCAATTAGGGTTTAGCCCTGTGGAGGGGGGTKCTGTGTTCTGGGTGTGCTGCAGGGATGAAGATTTTTGGGAGAGCCTGTCCTTTAGGGATGAGTTTGCTCTCCCATCTTGTGAAATCAATGGGCTGAATAAAAACTAAAAGTTAAATTTCCCAGTGATGTTTTTACTGATCTTGCTTTCCCCCCTTCTTGCTGCTTTTTGGTGCTGTCCAGAGAAATTGTTTGGCTTATGCAAAAGCTTTCTTTTCTACAACCTCTGGTTTGCTTGCAAGGAAAAACTATTTTTAACAAGYTGATTTGCCTTGAAGTCTGTGTGTTTATGCTGTACACTGGCATCACAGAGTAAAAATCTGACTTTTTCCAGATGAAAAATTTTAGCAGGAGTTTCTTGAGTGATCCAGCAAAAAACGAAGTTTCAGTTTGATTTTTTTTCAAAAAAATTATCTCATCTTAATCTCTGAAGTTTAAAACCTCCTATGGTACCTCCTGGAAGGATGAGATTAGAGGGAGGAGAAAAATGGTAATGAGGATATTCTGGTAGCAAAGATAATTCCTGCTAGGATGAAAGAGAAATAGGTATGAAGAGAGGAAGTAAACTTGGGAAAACGTATTATTGATCATTAATTGTATTGATACCTGAAATATTCAGGCTAGCAGAGGGAAAAGAAAGCTAAACCACACAATTTAGAGGCATTAGGTTAAATAACCCAAACAAACAGTCTGGCAACTCCTGTTTGGGGAAAATCCAGCTCAGCTGTTATCTGATTTTGGAGTAGCTTGAGATGAACCAATGCTGTGTCCTGCTCTTGGAGAAGACTGTTCCGTGACTGCAGTTTATCCCAATTAATCAAAGAGGAGGAGAGAGGACACTCCCTTTGTGTGTTTGCAGTGTGAGCACAGTTTGGGAAGTTGGCAGCAGCTCTGCTGAGCGCAGCTTTGCAAAGCACAGCCTAGGCAGTCCGGGCCTCTCCGTGTCCCTTCACTTACCCTGTCCTTTTGCTGCTAGGATCTAGATAAGACCCAGGAAGAAATCAAGAAGCACCACGCCAACATCAGTGAGTTGAAGAAGAACTTCATGGAGTCRGTCCCAGAGCCTCGGCCGAGTGAGTGGGACAAACGTTTGTCCACTCACTCCCCGTTCCGGAGCCTCAATGTCAACGGGCAGATYCCCACGGGAGCGGATGGAGTGAGTACCTTGGCATGGGTTATTCCAAGGGTGGATTTGCAGTGTAGACTCAGCCTCAACTCCCCTTAGCTTCTGCTTATTTTGGATTTTAATAGTTCATATTGACCTAGAACATGCAGAATGTTCTCTGAGGGAATCGAACTTTGAACTGTGATACTAGTCGTAGTATCATATAAATGGGATTTTTTTGCTAGAGAAGGATGTAGGAATTCCTTTACTGTTTTCATGCTGCTTTTCCTAGTGTTGCAGTCGCTGTGATGCTAGAAAGCCCTTCCCATGGTGTTTTTGGGGATTGATTCATTCCTGGATCTCCCCAAAATGTGGAAAAATCCCTGACAAACCCAAAATCCAAAGACCTAAATTACTCTTTCAGAGATAATATTGCAGATTATGCAATGGAGAAGCACYGGAATGGGATAATTTTTCCAAAATTACTTTATTCTCCAGTTAATCTGGTGCATCATTGGATTTAGACTTGTATTAGGAACTCTGGGTGCTGATCTGCTGTGGAGGCTTTGAGAAGACTCCTCAGGTGGCCACAGCAGGGCTATTCAAAGATGACTGAAATCTGCCTTCTTCCAGGAACTGTGTGTTAGTAACCACATACACTCACAGTTTCTCTGCTAATTTCCCTAAAAAGGTAATTTTTCAAGGAAAAACCAGTTACCGACTGTTTTTTCTTAGGTGACAGACACCTCTGTGTCATACTGGTGGCTCAAGTTTGGAGCTTATGAGTAAAACTGTAGTTAGTGCCTGTGGTAATCAGCCTTTGAAGTAGAAAATGCAATTTTTTATTGCAACAGAAAAATGGCATCCTGACTGCAAGTAGTGGCAGTTGGAGACTCTCCTGGTTTAAGCTCAGCTTTTCCCCTTTCTCCCCACAGCCCTGCAGATGAGCTAGTATTTAATCTTCAAACAAGGCAGATACTAATGAGGAAATAATCTTGCAGTGGATGGAGGGTTATTGTAACATGCGCAAGGGGTTTAACACCAAGTTTACTACAGGCCCCTCAAAGTTTGGAGTAAAGCCAGGACAGGTAAAGGGCTTTTTTTTGCCTGCTTGAAAAATGAGATGACCAAAACAATCTTAATCATGGTTGGTTGTTACACAGTCCCAGAATGGTTTGGATTGGAAGGGACCTTAAAGYCCWTTCAGWYCCACTCTTGCCRTRGGCAGGGACAYCTTCCRTAGACCAGGGTGCTCCAAACTCAATCCAGCCTGGCCTTGGACACTGCCAGGGAYTGAGGGGCAGCCACAGCTTCTCTGGSCACCCTATCATTGGGATTACCCTGTTTAACTCATTGGACAGACTTTGCCCTTTGTTGCTGAGCCTCCGTGTAGATTCCCCAGGAATGTGGGTAGCAGAGCTCTGCCCGCAGTGCCCTGTGTGTTTTGGGGTGTGGGTGTTTTGGGGTGTGGGTGTTTTGGGGTGTGGGTGGGACAGGGCAGAGCCTCTCAAGCACCACAGCTGCAGTTTAAGAATGTTATTTTTTGTGAAGAATTTCTTGCAAGGTGACACACTGAGATCTCGTAGGACTCTTGGTCACCAAAACTGGATGGTGGGGGCTTATCCCACCTAAGGCTGCAGTGGGTCTGCAGCACTTCAAGAACTGGTGTCAACCTTGGATTTGCATTTCTGGAAATTCCTTTAATCTGGTCCTCTTTGAAGTGATCTTGCTCTGAGGTGCCAATGGACATGTCCTGGTAGGAACTTTCAGAAATGCATCTTCCCCAGGCACTSACCAGGGAGAAAACTTTCCTTCACCTGCATGTGTTGAAGCATCATAAATCAGATGGTAATTTAAGGATGGTAAATCATGGTGCAAAGCCATTGCTCCTTGTCTTGGTTGTACCTTCAMCCTGCCTTAGAGGCCAAAGGGTTTTTTTGCCAGGGGCTTCTTTGCTGCTGTTCCTGTATGTTTTATTACAARACAACTGAACCTTAACACGCTTTGTGTGTCCAGGTCAAGAAAGTCACTGTCCTATCTTCTGAGAGACAGGTTGGTGGGCTTGAGATAAAGCTGCTGCTCTGATCTGTGCTTCTGAACCAGACTTGCTATTGCAATGGCACCAAGCAAAAATTCAACAGCAGCTGCTGGATAACATGTTTTCTTTTGGCTACATGAAGTAGTTTCATAACTCACACCCAGAGGACTTTGGCACTGCTGCAGCTTTTGCAGCTTTCAATTTTTGCTTATTTTGGTGCATGGCTGGTTTGAAAAAGCTGCATGACCAATATAACCGTGTATTTGGAGAGAAAAGCAATTCTGAAAATTTAACTGTTCCCTGTTCTTTTTATGTTGTCTTTCTTTCCGTTTCTTTGTTGTTTTAACGATCATGTTACTCTTGCATTTTATATTTTCTTTCGCTGCCCAGTCTCCCAGCTACTTTCTCCCGAATTCTCACCACTTAGGGGTGTGCAAAGAGCCAGTCCCAAAATACCACACTGACCAACGGAGGTTGGCTCAGCTGAGGGAGCTTAGAGCCAAATTCTTCCTCTCCTAAGTTCACTTCGGTTTGACCAAGGCTGGCAAAATAAAGGGATGCAGAGTACTGAACAGCAACATTCCCACAATCTTTTCTTCCTTCAGCAGAAGTGCTGAGGCCCRTGCATGGTCCTATATGCTGATTTACACATTCTGGGTTTTTATCATTCTTTAGACTCCAGAAACAAAAATGCTAAAAAACAGAGCAAAACTCCAGGAGTCTGCACTGCTCCTTACTGCCATCCTGCCTGTTCCATGTGTGGGATTTCTAAGATTTACAGTTTTTCACTTGTTCCAGTAGAATTTTCAAACCATTSGAAATTTTGATACTCTGGTCAGAACTTTGGAAAAGCGTTTTGTATCTGCTCTGCAGTCTGGCTGTTCCATGGGATTTTCCACATGCTGTGTTTTAAGGACACTGTAGATTAGGAAGCTGTCAGAGACCACATTTTGTACTGCACCATCCCTGTTTTGAATGCCTCAAACTTTTTTCTCAACCATTCCAATTCCAAAACATTCTGGAATGTTTTGAGCATCCACTTTTCTGGGAGGACAAGCACCAAACACCCATGATCCTGATGCAGATGTTGATGAGCTCTGCGGAGAGGACATGATTCTGTAGCTCCAGGGCTGGTGTGACCCAGGCCACCAGCAGCTCTGCTCCCCAGGGCAGTTTATTTTATGTKGACAAGAGCTGCCCTAATGCTTTGCACATCTCCAAGTGTCATTTTGGGCATCTTCCATCTGTCATTTTTGTTCATCTTTCTCTGTCTTTCTTGATCTTCTACCACGAAAGCAGACACGGGAACGGCCTCTGTTAGTACAGGATGAAGACAAACTAAAAAAGCAGGAGATACCTACTGAGACAGCCTTTCCCCGGCCAGCAAGTGAAGCAACTCTTCCAAAGGTTTCTATTGCAATTCCTGAAGAGCAGAAATTACTCAAAAAGTGTCATCTGTACTCTAGCATTTTTCCTTCTCCACGTATTCCCTTTATTATGTCCTTTTTCCTGGTCATAGCACTGACTGTTTGGTGGCTGCTCTTTCTCTGAGTGGCAACAGGGTGATGTTGAAACCTCAAGACCAAAGCTCCTGAATTTCTTGGCTGTAGTTTTGGCTGCATCTTTCTTGTCCTGGTCTTTGATCTCCGTAGTTGGCTGTCCCAGGGAGGGACACACCGTGACTGTCATGTTAATCCCACTGTATGTCCTTGTGTGGCTGTCATGGGACCTGGCAGGAGTGGGCATGGATTGCCATGTCCATTCTGAAGTTTCCAATGGTACAAAAGCAAATTCTTTGAACTGTGTTCCCAGTTGCTGTGGGAGGGCAGGTGAGGGGAGGAGATCATGGGAGGAGTTTGGTTTCCTGAGCCCCTGTAGACTTCCCATAGGAATTGCTGGAGAATTGCGTTCAAACTTGTTGTTGTAATATGTTCACAACCTGAAGAACATTTGACACTGATCTAAAAGGGGCTTTGGAGGACTCTGCTGAATCACAGGATCCTGGAATGATTTGGGGTTGGAAAAGACCTTAAAGATTATCTCATTTCACCCTCTGCTATTAGCAGGGAACCTTCCACTGGACCAGGTTACTCCAGGCCCTGCCCAACTTGGCCTTGAACAATTCCAGGCATGGGGAGTCCACAGCCTCTCTGGACARTAAGAGGTTGAATCTCTAGGAAGAACACTGGAATCTAATCCATAACCAGTCCATTTCTAGGAAACTCAGATTGGCACTTAAATAAAAAGTGCTGGTTCTCACTGCTGCTCTWGGTGATAACCTAGGGACAGGGTCAGCTTTTCATTTCCTAGTGGGGGAAGCCTTTGACAAAGTATCCCAGCTTCCCTCTCCAYCCCTATTCTCACATCCAAGAAAATACATAGTGTTATAGGAGAAAACCCATTGCAAGCAGATACTTACTGTAAACATAGGTTAATCATTTTTTAGTACCTGATGGTCTTGGTGCACTTGGGATGTGTTTTAATTAATTCATGTGGAATTAACCGGYGCATGTTTGCTCAGGTTACCAGGATGGAGTTACTCGCTGTTTGAACATTCCTTCTGTTGGCATATTGGCTTGGCCACATCAGGACACTAGAAGTGTGTTAAAGCCCTTGATTATTTTTTACTTCTTTAACCAAATGGTTGCATGCTGGTCCTTGTTYATTGCCTACAGTGTAAATGCCTGGATGATGCTCCCATTTTTTCAAGTTATCCTGGCTGAGCTGTGCAGGCTCCAGCCCAGCTGGGCTGAGCAGAGCTGGTTTGTAAGCTGGAGGGAAGGTGGGACTTTGTGTCTAAGGGGTTTCTTTTCTGTAAATAGTAACGAYAGGGCTGAGCTGAGCCCCCCATGTTTCCTTTCTAATCCATGTTCTGTATTCACTGGAGGGTTGGGCTGGACACAGTCACTCTGAGAACACCCTGCTCCAGAAGTACAGGAGAGTAAGGAGCAGACCTTTATTACAGGGACTAAAATCTGTGAATATATATAAATACCTGTATTTATAATCCTTT